AGGCATATACTTACTAGAGAAAGGAAAGGGAAAACCTCAAAACCTAGTACAGGAACATGAGAGCCTAAAACAGTAACAGCAGTTCATCCTCCTGGGGCACATCAAGGAAAAGGTTACAGTCTGTTTCTTTTGTGTTAGGCCCCTTCATGTAAAATTATTTGAGGAAGCTTGCAATCAAAAAGATGAACTTGTGTTCCAAAATGTGCACCATAAGTATATATAAATCAGCTCTATCGATTCTGCTGATGCTGCCGTGCAGAAGCACCTCGATGTTAGTGGAAGGCTCCCTTCCCTGTAGAAGACTAGCTTAATTTGCTTTGTGCTTTTACTTTTTCTTTTTATTTATTTATTTATTTATTTATTTTAGACAGAATCTCAAGCTGTCACCCTGGGTAGAGTTCCATGGCGTCATAGCTCACAGCAGCCTCCAACTCTTGGGCTCAAGCAACCCTCTTGCCTCGGATTTTCCTATTTTTAGTAGAGATGGGGTCTCACTCTTGCTCAGGCTGGTCTTGAACCTGTGAGCACAGGCAATCCACCCATCTTGGCCTCCCACAGTGCTAGGATTACAGGCGTGAGCCCCCATGCCCAGCCTGCTTTGTGCTTTTAAATGTGTTTGTTTTCTTTCTTTCTTTTTTCTTTTTTTGCAGTTTTTCGCCAGGGCTGTGTTTGAACCCACCACCTCCAGTATATGGGGCCAGCGCCCTACTTCTTTGAGCCACAGGCACTGCCCCTAAATGTATTTGTATCCACCCTCTTTCTCCACTTGTAGTATAAAATAGCCATTTGATGTTTTGGTTGATTTTTGAACTGTTGTATTGTTCGTGTAATGATTTTAAAATCCAGGTGCCATGTCAAATTGGCTGGAAGGTGAAGATGGCTTCAGGAGCAGAGCAACACAAGCACCCAGTCTCTGCATCCTTCCATCCCACCACCCATCTGCTTGTTCATTTATTCCTCCACAATTCAGACTTTTTTAAAGAAGCTCATCACCAATTGGGCCTATTGCTAAGTGCTGGGGATAGAGGGAAGAATAAGAGATTAGTCTTTGCCACCAAAAGTATAGGACATGGGATAAGCCAGTTTTTATGTGTAACCCCGACACAGCCTGGTCCTGTATTTCACACTGGGGTATGCTAGGTGCTGTGACACAAAGGAGGACTGGAGCTGTGTGAAGGGGGCCACATGCAGGCGACAGGGACGGCCGCAGAGGAAGGGATGCCTGCACTCTGTGGTGAAGGATGGGTCCAGATTGCCCCAGGAGCCCAAGCTGGGAGGGCATTCCTTTCAGAGGATCTGGACTCCTCGGGAACATGGCATGTACCAGAAGCGACCAAGTGTACACATGGGCTCTGTGACAAGCAAGTGCATTTAAGTGGCAGAGAAGTAGCCAGGAGAGTAGATGGGGAGGGATGGTAGAGAGAACCACATGATTGGTCTGTGGGGTACAATTCTCTGAGCTGTTTGAGGCAGTTTTATTACTGACATGCTTCCCAAAAGAAGCTTGAAGATGGAGACTGGGGCCCTTGGGCATCAAAACCTGGACCCAGCCTGGGTGGGGCCTGTGAGGCCTGAGGACACAGGTTCTTGGTGTCTGGGCCAGCATTCCTGAAAAACAGCGAGCCAAAGACAGCCTTGCTTCTCCTTCACTGTGCTGCTATTTTAAATGCAGTACAAGATCCAAATGCATTTGGTCTTCAAATCATTTTCATACCCTTCTATATAAAGGCTCTCATTTTCAGAGCATCTTTCTGGGACATGAACTGTAGCACAAAAGGACATCAATCTCATTACCAGTTAATTTTGCTAAAAGGATGTCTTGGAGGA